GGTGTGCCACTGTGGAGAGAGTACGTCCGGTCACAGCCGCTCACACCACTCCTGACGTCATTGGCAGGTGAACGCTGACAATGGGAGAGCCCCCAGGATGGCCACCAGCCCTAACCACCATGGGCCAGGACCAGAACAGCTTGCTGCAGCCCTGGGCAGCACTGGCATTGCACGCAGATCGCATCTTAGCTCCCCACCACTCCACTGCATCAGCCCATCACACCCATTTCACAGAAGAGGACACATGGCTCCAAGCAATCAGCTGGGAGGGAAGGACAGGAAGTCTAAGGCCCCAGGACCGGGAGCAAAGGTTTATTTCACACCCTCTCTGGGAAGTAAGGTGGCCCCAGCAGAGCCAGACACAGACAGGGGCTGGGAGGGCAAGCACGCGGGGCCCGAGGGGCCGGGGGCCTCCGTCACCCGCCAAGGCCCTACACCCAGGCCCAGCAACCGTACTCAGGGAGGCCACAGGCACAGCACTGTCTGGCTAAAGCAAGAGAAGCATCTGTCTCAGCCCCGAGCGTCCCCACCCTCAGCTCTCTCCCTCACGGGAATTTTATTCTGGATAACGGTGGTCTCTGTGGGGCCACATGCATCTCAGGGAAAACCCCAGTGCCCCAGACTCTGCAGTTTGGTAAATCCCTGTTTGAAACAACACTATGCACAAAACTCGGTGAGCATGTATCAGCAGTAACTTTGCTCTCCACCAAAACAAAGTACCAGAATCCTCCCGGCTCACCCAAAGCTTTGCCGAGCTGTGGGACAAATTGGCTTTCAATGAGCGGAAGCCTTCCTTCCAGGGCAAGAACGTGCCTGCTGGACAAACATTTTTCAACATTGCTGGTCCCTCCTTTTCAAGAGCCGTTTAGAGAAGCCAAGTGGTTAAGATGTCAAGTATCATTATTTGGAATCTGCCTGAAAGCCAAGAGTTAAATCACTTTATTTCTAAAGAAATAAAAATTCTGTTTCACTTGCAGAGAAGAGCATCTGGGACTGCGAGTCCAACTCAACCAACTTTACCATCGCACTGTTATGGAAGAAAGAAGGGAAAAGGCGCCCCGGGCCGCCAGCGGCCTCCCGCGCTCTGCTGGTCTTCATTAAGGAAGACGGGTCCAATTTTCCACCGTGAACGCAGCTATCAGCCAGGAAACCCCAGGGCTAGGAAAACACCTCTTTCAGACCATTAACAACTTGCGGTCAACAAAAATCTCTCTTTCCTGGCAGCCCCTCTCGCTCAAATCAAATTCCACAACAGGAAAGACTGACAGGACAGAAACACGGGTTCTGAACCAATCTGTGACCTGCTACTTCAGCCGCAAGTCTCCAGCCGTCAGCGGCAGAGCCACACCAGCGCCGCTCCTCAGAAGAACAAGCCAGAAGGGAAACTGGGGCTCCTCAATGCAAGATGCTTTCCTTCTTGAAAATTATAAATTGTTTTCATTCTTTAATAATAAAAGTGGGTAACAGTTACGGAATGCTTGCTGTAGGCCATTCACATGCATTTTTCCACCGATTAATTCTCACATGGCCTCACACACACGGAAAATGGGCTAGGTAACTGTTATTGCCCCCATTTTACAGATGGGGAAACTGAGTCTTGGGCAGGTTCAACAACTCACTCCAGACCTCACAGCTGGGATTCAAACCCAGCCCTGGCCATTGATTTCCAGAGCTTCCTGATGGCAGTGGACTCTTAATCCAGGTGTGCTCATGGGAAAACAGTGTTTCCTGCTGTTTAAAATTAGGAAATTAAGGGGCCGGCCCAGTGGCGCACTGCTACA